GTTTAGCTCATAGTCCTCACTCCGTTGTTTCTTGGGGTGAGACGCGGGGGTTCGCCCTGTGGACTCCCTCTCATGCTTCATCTGAGCCTCCGCCCTGTCCGCCTGAGGCGTCAGGATACTAGTATCTTCGTCGGATCCATATGGAGACCATCTTTCGTCTTGAGCAGGGATGTCCTCTTCCATCATCACGGACAATGCTCGGCTCAGGGAAATGTCATTACTGATGCTATCAAAGTCTTTCTCCATGGAATATATTTCATGATATTTTTCAATTGGGTCATTACTGTCCTGACCGAAATGTCCGTTAAGTGCAATTGGGATTTGGGCGCTGGCACTTGTGCCCGCCCACTCGGTAGGGATATTCGGATACGTATTCCTATCCCCTTGGACTTCCCCTGGCCGGCCGGCTTCACCAGCGGCAATAGCCGTAGCGTGTGGAGTGTTCGGAATTGAGCTGATTGACTCCGTCGATTTGGCACTCCATGACGAAAACGCACTTCGTCTGGGTCTTGATGTGACGCCATCTCGCCCGTGCGGGTCCGGGGTTTGCTCACGATTACCTATCGGAGCTCCCGCGGGGGATACGTCTACCGACATTTCGGTTATCCCCTCGGTACTTCTTCCCCTCACTACCCGAGTGGCGATGTGTAAAGGAGGGATTCGGTCCTGAACAGGACCGTCTCTGTCTGCGTCGTGTCCATCATGTTGTACAACGCGCCTATCGGCGCTTCTCGATATATTGGACACGATATCAGTCTTATCATAGCTCTTTCCCGCAGCGACTGAGTCGCGGGGCGCATCTGAAAGATCTTCTTTCGTATTTGATGGCCCCGCGTCGACTGAGTCGCGCGTTTCGGCTGATAACCCATCTTTCCTCTGAGAATCGGGATAAGATGACAAAGGAATTAAGATCTCATGTTCACTCTGCTCAGGGAGAGAGGGGACGGGATGAGACATTGATAAGACAAGTATCCGCTAAGCAAGACTACTCTATCAGGAATGTGAAGGGAGGAGGTCGGCCGAGGACGGACGACGACGAGCCGCCCGCGCGCCCCAGCGCACTCCTTTTCTCTCCTGCAAGCCGAGGTCGGCTTGCTCGAGCAGTCATACAGCTGCGGAACGCAGCTGTCAGTTCCAGCGGACAGTGCAATGCATGCAAACTAAATTATGTCTTAATTGATTATGAGGCGGAGAGGAGCATATTTACTCAAGGAGGAGCTTCCGCAAAAAAGAGCTGAGGAGGATGTGGAGAATGCGCAGGGTATGGCGAAAATAAAAAACAATAAGCATGGAGGACAGATAACGAATAACATCATTATAGCGGCGATGCCGGAAAAGGCAACCAGGAGTTATCGCTAAATTGTCGGCTTGACCTTCCTGCCATTCCGCCTGCAAACCAAAGTTCAAGAACCAAGGTGCATGGCGCGAAGCGCCACTGCAGTCTTGTATGTATATGTATATGTATATGTATATGTATATGTATATGTATATGTATATGTATATGTATATGTATATACATACATGCATACATACATACATACATACATACATACATACATACATACATACATACATACATACATACATACATACATACATATAATCATGTGTATATATATATACATACACACATCTATATATACATATATATATATGTGTTACATCAGAGATAACCCCAATCAGTGGATGCTTTGGAAATGAGTGATATGGATATTGGAGAGAGCGTGATCCACCGCCGCTTTACTATGGAAAATTGCCCCCCTCTTCCTCCGGAACCTGGGGTTCCCCCCCCTCCGAAAATCCCCCCCCCCTGCTGGACCCCCCCCCCTTTCCCCGGCAAAACCCCCCCTCCCCTACCCCCTCCCCCCCCCTCCCCCCTTCGAAAACCGGGGGGGTCACTACCGGTTCGAACCCCCCCCCCCTCGAAAACCGGAGGAGGGGTCACTACCGGTTCGAACCCCTCCCCACCCCCCCCACTCACCGCCAGCAAACGACTCCCGGTCCCTACCACCGTCCGCGCCACATCCCCCACTGTTGTTCCCAGCACCACTGTCCTCACCACCACTGTCCCCACTGGTTCCACCACCGTCCCTACTGTCCCCACCAGTGCTCCCACCACTGTCGCACTGTCCCCACTGTCCCCACCACTGTTCCCACCACGGCTCCACTCTGCCCACTTTCTCCACGGCCCCCACCACTGCCCGACTATCCCCACTGTCCCCACTGTCCCACTGACTCCTCCGCTGTCCCACTGAGCTGTCCCACTGTTCCCACCACTGTCCCCACTGTCCCCACTACTGCCCCCACTGTACCTTTGTCCCACTGTCCCACCGCCGGCCTCGCCACCGCCTTCACCACTGTCCCCACCACCACTGTACCCTCAACTGTCCCACTGTTTCCACCTCCCCCTGTCCCCACACCTCTGTCCCCACCACCACCGTCCCCACCACTGTCCACTGTCCCCATCTTCCCACCATTGTCCTCACCACTGTCCCCACCACTACAGTCCCCAACACTGTCCCACTGTCCCCACCACTGTCCCGCTGTCCCCTCACCACTGTCCCCACCACCACCGTCCCCACCACTGTCCGCACCCCCCCTCGGTTTTCGAGGAGGGAGGGGGGGGGGGTTCGAACCGGTAGTGACCCCCTTGGTTTTCAGGGGGGGGGGGGTTCGAACCGGTAGTGACCCCCCCTTTTCATGATGAACTGGGGGGGGGGGGGGAGGGGCTCGAACCGGTAGTGACCCCCCCGGTTTTCGGGGGGGGGGGGGGAGGGGTTCGAACCGGCCGGTAGTGACCCCCCCCCCGGTTTTCCGCCAGCAGCGGTAGAACACGCTCTTTCGGATACTGAGATCGATTGTGAGATCGATAGTGGAATCGATAGTGAGGACAATTGTAAAGTCGATCGACCGATAGCGAAGTCGATCCAATGAGATCGATAATGAGATCGATCGTGAGATCGCTCGTACGATCTATAGTGAGATCGATGGTGAGATCGATAATGTGATCGACTGTGAAATCGATAGTACAGTCGATAGAGAGGTGGGTAATGAGATCGATGGTGAAATCGATGGATGAACAAATCGACAAAAAAACGGGAACCTGGGAAACCCGCCGCCCACCGAAATCGGCCTGGAACCAATAACCAGGAACCCAAGAACCCGGAACCGGGAACCCGGGAACCCAACCTGCTACCAAAATCGGCCTGGAACCAATAACCAGGAACCCAGGAACCCGGAACCAGGAACCCGGGAACCCAGGAACCCGGCCTGCTACCAAAATCGGTGGGAAACTTTCGCCAAATCTTTCAACTTCCGCTAGGACCCCTTCAGTGCAAGCAATATATATAAATATATATATATATATACATGTATACATATATATTATATATATTTACACAAGACTGCAGTGGCGCTTCGCGCCATGCACCTTGGTCCTTAGAATGTGGTACGCAGGCGGACTGGCAGGAACGTCGAGTCGACAATTTAGCGAGGCATCCCCGTTATAGTAATGTTATTCGTCATCCTTCCTCCATGCTTCTTTCCTCATTTCCACCATACTCCGCGCATTCTCCCCATCCTCCTCAGCTCTGTTTGCAGAAGCTCCTCCTTGGAGAGCCTCTAGGGGAAGGGCAAAAGTTTTTCAGGCTTTCTTAAGGCCTTCTGGAAGCCTCCTGAGCGTGTGATGGGGGCCTCTGGGGGCTTCCTCGGGCCACCCTGCCTCCAACCGCGGTTTCCCTGAACGACCAGGTCACGATTTGAAATGATTCGGAGGGTGTCTTGGGGGCCATCTTGGGCCATCATGGGGCTCTCTCAGGGCCTTCTTGGACCCCTGTTGTGCTATTTTGGGGCTCTCTTGGAATGCCTGAAGCCCTTTCGGATGGTTGTGGGGCGATTTTGGAGCCTCCCAGGCGGCTTCGGACGCCCAGAAGGAAGCCGAAAAGAGGACAACCCCTAAAATTCACCAAAAAACAACAGAAAATCAATGATTTGTGCCTCTTGGGGCCTTCTTGGAGTGCTCTTGGAGGCCTCTTGGGACGTTTCTGTAGCGACATCGAATGATGACTTTCTCATCATCTAAGCCACGAAAAACCAATCACATTGCTCATCATCTGCCGTGCCATGCTCTCTCCTGCACGAGGGGGCCTCCGACCCCAGCAATACAATCTACAGCAGTTTCGGAGCGATGTTTGGGGGTATGACGGCTTCCTGGGGGGCGTCGTGGACCTTATTGGGGCTCTCTGGGGTCGTTTCGGGAGCGCGCCAGGACGCCTAGAACCCGTCTGGGGTCATCTTCGGGCTCTCGTGAGGTTTTCCCGGGTCGTCTGAAGGGTTGCCCGGAGGCCCACGGAGGGCCAAATTCGTTTGGCGGGGGGGGGGGGCGTTTTTTCTGGCGTCCCCGACCCTTTTAAATATAAGAATAAGTAGGTGTGTATGTATATATAGAGTCTCCAAACAGCGCTTGTATTTAGGGATTCTTGATTGGCATAACCATCTCGGGGTGAGTGGCGGCTTTTGCGGGCGGTGCAGAACGTCGCCGCCGTCGCCGTCGCCGTCGCCGCCGCTCGGGGCGAGTGGCGGCTTTTGCGGGCGGTGCCGCCCGTCGCCGCCGTCGCCGTCGCATAGATTGCAACACATAGATTGCACCGCATAGATTGCATTACGTAGGGTGCGCGCATGAATTGTACCGCACAGACTGCACCACATGAATTGCACCACATATATTACACCGCATAGAGTGCATTGCATAGGTTGCCGCGCGCAAATTGCATCACAGAGATTGAACCGACAACATATATTGCATTACATAGGTTGCACCGCATAGATTGCACCACATTGGCTGCATCGCATATATTGCACCGCATAGAGTGCACTACATAGGTTGCATCCAATACATTGCACCACATAGATTGCACCGCATAGACTGCAATAACCTACTGTTTGGGGTCCACGCTGGCTAACACACATGTCTTTACATATATATATATATATATATATATATATATATGTATATATATATATATATATGTATAAATAAATAAAGAACTCATAGCATTTAAAAAAACGAGGAGCAGAGCAAGAGGAGCAAGAGGAGCAGCGATGACGCAACCGAGCGCTCACCAGGGTAATCGCCTGGGGGGGGGCGAGGCCATGGAGGAGCGGGGTTGGATAAGAGCGGAAGACGGGGAAGAGGATGATTGGAAGAGAACAGCAAGCCTCCTGCGCGAACACAACGCAGCGGCATGCAACTATAATTCTCGTGGGCGCAAAGACAGAATTGACCACGAGCTACTGCAGGCGCTGACGCGAGATGTATTGTAGTCGCACAGCGATCTCAAGTCCCCACGCGTCGAGATGCGAACTGCTGCGCGCTGTAAACATGACCAGAAGTGACGGTAGGAACCGTTTTGCGATTGCAGCGAATATTGAAACATCGACCACCATCCATTCCCGACAGATGCGTGCGAGGTTTCTCCCAGCCTCTTTCGTCAAGTCCTCTGGGGAGGCGGGCTCGCGCCAGTCTACAAAGCAACGTAGGCCATGAACAGACAATGATAAAACCACCCCGACCCCCCCGCTTGCCCCGTCTCCTTCCCTAAACCACAGCCCCACCCATTGCGCTTCACCTAACTGTTCGCGCCAGCGTCTTGTCCACAACTCCGCCGGACCTCCAGAGTACCCCAAGAAACAATCGAGATGCCTCCTCCTTCTCCTCCTCCTCCTCCTGCTCCTCCTCCTCCTCCTCCTCTTCCTCCTCTTTCTGGTCCGCCAACACATAGCAACAGAGATGCAACATGGGCAGGCGGAGTGAGCGAAACGATTAAATAACAGAAGACAACGACCCTATCCCGCAAATTCCACGATCCCAACAAGGTGGGGCGGCGGTGTCTGACCCCTCGAGGGCGTTCGATAAATTCGCCGGCCCAACGGGGCAGAGGCGTGCTAAGTTCTCTGGTAACTGGTTCACAGAGTGTATGTATATTCTAGTTCGCGCGCGCAGGGCGGCCCCTGCGAGTGCCCGGGCGAAAAATTATCCCGGCCGACTGCCAGCGAGGTCCCAGAAAGGTACGCTCAAGGATGCCAGAACTCCTGGACGATTTTCGGCCCCCTCAATATCGCCCCAGGAGCGCCCCAAGAGACCCTCAGGGAGTTCCAAGAGAGCCAATGAGTCCGCATCGCATCAATAGGTGGCAGGCCTCACGACGGCCCGAACATAATCCGAAGATGGCTCAATATTGCCCCACGATGGCCCCAGACATGCCCAAGATGGCCTTCAGAGGCCCCTCAACAGGGCCTCAACTAGCAAAACTTCAAATTCAATTGGGAAACCAAACATGTGTAGCACCTTTGCCATTTCCGTCTAAGACGGCACGAGAGGCACAGAAAATCGTCACACGACGATCCAGGAAGCTCCCAAGAGGACCCCGAGATGCCCCCAAGATGCCCCTGAGAGGGGCCCAGAAAACCCCAAAGGCCCCGAAGAGCCCCAAGAGGCCCCTAGAAAACCCCCAAGATGCCCGCGGGATGACTGCAAGAGGCTCCCAAGACGCCTCTAGGAGTTCCCACAGCAATCCAAGAAGTGTACTCGCGGTTCCAAGAGGCCCCAAAAGGCCCCCAAGAGGGGCCCAGAAGGCCCCGAAGGGCATCCGAAACGTCCGGGGAGCAGCACAACAGGACCCAAAATGCCCCCGAAACGTCCCCCAACGGCACCAGGGGGCCGCAAAGATGCCTCCCAGAGGCCCCTGGTAGGCCTCCCACGAGAAACATGGCACCTCCCAAAGAAGCCTCTTGTCCAGCGCCGAGGGAGGTAGGGGGGAGCAGGAGGGCCTCCTCCTCCTCCTCCTCCTCCTCCTCCTCCTCCTCCTCCTCCTCCTCCTCCTCCTTCGTTCGCCACGAAAACCAGCATATAGCACCTGTCATTCACAGTGGTCCCGCGATATAGCATCTGTCATTCAATATGGTCCTTCGAGCACGCCAACATAGATCCAGAGGCCCCCAAGAGCCCCGAAAGACCCACAACGGCACAAGCGAAGCACCTGCAACCACCCTGATGACCCACGACTGCCAAGACAGCACCGCAAGGGTCTGCGACATACCCCCAGAAACCAGTCCCACGGCAACTGATTCACCTCTGACGCTCGCCACGCACCGCCTCAGGAAAATGGCAGCCGCCCAGCGGCACCGCAATGACAACAACACCCTGACCAACGACAGCAGCGAGATAAGACAGCCCCCCCCCGCTTGCCCCCGTTTCCTTCCCCACCCACTGCAGAGCCCCACTGCGCTTCACCTTACCCATCCGTGTCGACGGCGGAGTAAAAGTTGCTGAGTCCAGCAAATGCCACAACACAGCCAAAGTAGGTGAGCTTCACGGCCATAGCGGTTGTCAGGCGAAGTTCGCCCACATAGAACCCCGCCGCACTATAATTGATAAATTCTACCAAGTAGTGCCTTTGGGTGTCGACGTCCCTCCCAAAATTCAAGGAATTGATCAGCGCCGGCATCCGCATGCACCTGTCCGAAACCGCCGCCGCCTTGAAGAACGAGAGCATCGCTGCCACAACCAGCAGCGCGTCGGAGCCTATCGATGTCATGTCGTCCACGTCGGCGTGCACGGCGTGCGCGCCGTACAGAGAGACGACCCCCTGCAGCACGAGCGACAGAGCCGTGCTCTGGACAATGGCGAAGCTCCACTCGAGCGCCTTGGACACCTTGCGCAGGACCGCTTGCAGCAGGTTCCACTCGTACACGCTTCGCTCGAGCTTGAATTGTTGGTCAAAGTGCGCCACGTACGAGTCGATCATCATTGAAAGGGCACAGCTGGCGTGGAGGATGCCGTCGACGACGCCCAAAAACACAAAGCTCACCTGGAGGAAGACTAAAATGGCATCGGCATGAAACTACGGGAGGTCCGCTCGGACTGTTGGATCTGCGCTGGGCCCACCTCGCTGGCGCGCGGAGCGCGCCAGGGGTGGCGCCAGAGGCGCCGCCAGGGGGACCCAGGCGCCGACCCCAAAAATCCACGAGGAGCTCCTACAAAGTATGCTTATTCCCTTCGTCTTTCCTCCGATCACCGCGACGAAGACCCCCGCAGAGGCCGCCTCCATGGGGGCCGCCGGGCTGCGCCTCCACAGCGAGATGCCGCGCAGGCCCGCGCTGCAGACCCAGAGCAGGGCGAGCTGCGCAGCGCTGCCCCTCCAGAAGAGGACGATGACGACGACGGTGATGGTGATGACGAATCACCCCCAGAAAGATATTGGCCCGAATGGACCCCACACCGTGTGCTTCTGGCAACATATGGTGTGCAGTCCATGTGGAACAGAACCTGTGATGCAGTGTGAGATGCGGTGCAGTATATGTGGTATAGTCTATGTTGTGCAATGTATATTGTGCAGTCAGCGTTGTGCGATCTATGTTGTGCAATCCATGTAGAGCAATATATGCGGTGCAAAATCTGTTGTGCAACCTATATTGTGCAACGTACGTTGTGCATTTTATGTTGGTCAATCTAGACTGTCAGTCAATGTGGAACAATAGATGTGGTGCAATATATGCTGTGCCATCTGTCGCGCCACATAGGTTGTGCAATATATGGTGTGCAATCCCTGTTTTGCAATATATGTTGTGCAATGTATGTGGAGCAGTCCATGTGGCGCAACCTATGTGGTGCCATGTATGTTGCGCAACCTATCTGGCACAATCTGCGTGATGCAATGCATGCTGAACAATCCGCCAACCCCTTGTGGGCCTCTAGGCGTGTGAAATAGTTCCACCCCCGTACTCTCTCCCCTGGGACCCAAACCAGCAATTCGACCCCCTGGATGGGCTCCCCAAGGGGGGTCCGGCCATTCCGGTGCTCCCTTTGGAGCTCCAAGACAGCCCCTGAGGTCTCCAAAGAGGCCCCCAAGACGGTCCAAGAGAGCCCCGAGTCGCCGAAAGATCGTTCCCAAACATCCACGATGGCCTCCAGATGGCCCCACACGCCTTCAAGATGCCCCACGAGGCCTCCAGGAACCTCCCCCCCCGTATCGTCCCACTCCCTGAAGACAACGTATGTTTTTAGCATATTCGCCTCTGGGGCTTCCACCAGGTCCAAGACGACCCGAGAGGTCCCCAAGAGGGCTCCAAGACGGCCCGCGAGGGTCCCCCAAAAAGCCAAAGAAGCCTCCAAGAAGGCCCACCAAAAGGGCTCCAGGACTGCCCCAAACGGGGGCCCAGAGGCAGAACCCGAACAAACATTTCGAGCCTTCGCCTCTAAGACGCCGCCAGGATGCCGCAAGAAATCCAAGAAAACCCAAGAGGCCACCCAGGGAGCCCCAAAAGGGCTCCAACAAGCTCCCCCAAAGCCCCTCAAGAGACCCCCACGAGTCCCCCGCAAGCACCCCAAACATCCCCATACAACCCAGATGGATCCGAAAACGCCCTCAGAGGCTCCCCAAACACTTCGAGAACCCCCCATTTGTTCCTTCCTCCTCCAGCTCCTCCCCCCGTCTCTCCTTTTCCCCTCCCTCCTCCTCCTCCTCCTCCTCCTCCTCCTCCTGCACTCCTCCTCCTCCTCCTCCTCATCCTCCTCTCGTTTTCCTCACACATAGCTTCTCCCTGTCGCACCCCGAGGCCAGTTTTTAGGGCGGGCTGGGTGCTTCGCCCGAGAGACTTCCTCACCATTTATGGCCCCGAAGCTTACACATCGACAACCATTTCACTCATGCTGGCCATCGCTCGGACGTCCATTCCCTGTGTTTTTTCCGGTTTCGTGCGTGGTTTTTTCGCCAAATGATCAAGGATGCTCCTCGATGGTCCTCGCCGAAGGAAAAATGCACACGTCCGAGCGATGCCTAGCATGGAGGGCGCGCCGTTTTCACAATGTGGCTCTCGCCTCAGCGCCGCGCGCAGTAAAACAAAATCGATAGTTTCACGGATTGAGGGCGACCCGTTGTCAAAATGTGGCTCTCGCATTCGCGCCGCGTGCATTCGCTTTAAACATTCGCAAGCAAGAACTTCACGGATTGAGGGCGGTTCCTGTTCAAACTGTGGCTCTCGCCTTAGCGCCGCACACATTCGTCTCTAACATTTGCAACAGTTTCACGGATTCTCATGATCAGCATACCAGCAACTCCGTTTTGGAAGGATTGAGGATTATGAGTGTGCAGCAGTTACGTTGATTCGCGGTGTTCAAGTTCCAGGAATGGCGTTCGGGCACGATTCAGGATCGTCAAGACGCAACAGTCCGGTTGACCCGTGGGTTTGGAATCCCGAGAACAATGCTTTGGCATGCTTCAGACTCTTCAAACGGGTTGTCTTCAAACGAGGCAACTCCCTCAGTGGAAATGAACCGTTGCAAGGGCCTATCACGAGGGAGCTTGGAGGTAAGGTTTATTCCAACATCGTTGATGACCCTTCGGTTTACACTGGTCTTCGTCCTCCTCCTCGTCCTCCTCCTCTTCTCCTCCAAGTCACTCTCGTCGTCCTCCTCGTCGTCCTCCTCGTCCTCGTCCTTGTCGTCCTCCTTCTCCTCCTCTTCCTCCTCACCCTCCTCTTCCTCCTCCTCCTCTCCCTCATCATCCTCATCCTCTTCCGCCTCCTCTTCCTCCTCCTCGTCCTCCTCGTCCTCCTCCCCTCCTTCTCCTCCTCTTCCTCCTCCTCGTCCTCCTCCTCCTCCTCCTCGTCCTCCTCGTCCTCCTCCTCTTCCTCGTCTTCTTCCTCCTCCTCTTCGTCCTCTTCGTCCTCTTCGTCCTCCTCCTCCTCCTCGTCCTCCTCGTCCTCCTCGTCCTCTTCCTCCTCCTCGTCCTCCTCGTCCTCCTCCTCCTCCTCCTCCTCCTCTTCCTCGTACTTGTCCTCGTCCTCTTCCTCCTCCTCCGCCTCCTCCTCCTGCTCCTCCTCCTACTCGTCCACCTCCTCCTCGTCCTCTTCCTCCTCCTCCTCCTCCTCCTCTTCATCCTCCTCCTCCTCCTCGTCCTCCTCGTCTTCGTCCTCCTCCTCATCCTCCACATCCACATCCACATCCACATCCACCCCCGCCTCCTCCTCCACATCCTCCTCCTCCTCCTCGTCCTCCTCCTCCTCCTCCTCTCATTCTCCTCCTCTCCTCCTCCTCCTTCACGCCCCCCCAGGAATTTATCCATCACCCCCCCGTCCTTCTCTTCGCACTGTCCTTCTCCTCCTCCTCCTCCTCCTCCGCCTCCCGCCTCTTCCTCCTCCTCGTCGTCGTCGTCCTCCTCCTCCTCCTCCCTCTCGTCCTCCTCCTCCTCCTCCTCCTCCTTCCCCTCCACATCTACCTCCACCCCCTCCTTCTCGTTTTCCTCCTCCGCATCCTTCTCCTCGTCCTCGTCCTCGTCGACAAACCCAAATGGTTCCCAAAACGCCCCCCCAGGAATTTATCCATCACCCCCCCGTCCTTCTCTTCGCACTGTCCTCCTCCTCCTCCTCCTCCTCCGCCTCCGCCTCTTCCTCCTCCTCGTCGTCGTCCTCCTCCTCCTCCCTCCTCGTCGTCGTCGTCCTCCTCCTCCTCCTCCTCCTCCTCCTCCTCCTCCTCCTCCCCCTCCACCTCTACCGCCACCCCCTCCTTCTCGTGTTCCTCCTCCGCATCCTTCTCCTCGTCCTCGTCCTCGTCAACAAACCCAAATGGTTCCCAAAACGCCCCCCGGGAAGTTATCCATCACCCCCCCGTCGTTTTCTTCGCGCTGTCCTCCTACTCCTCCTCCCTCTCGTCCTCCTCCTCCTCCTCCTACTCCTCCTCCTCCTCCTCCGCCTCGTCTCCGTCCTCCTCCTCCTCCTCCTCCTCCTCGTCGTCCTCCTCCACCATTCCTTTTCGTTATACATAAGTTCTCCCTGTCGCACCCCGAAGCCAATTTTTAGGGCGGGCCGGGCGTTTCGCCTGAGACTCCCTGACCATTTATAATTCTGAAGCTGAAGACAAACGTGACAACAGTTTCACAGATGGAAGGCGGGTGGTTTTCAAAATGTGATTCTCGCCTTAGCGCCGCGCACCTTCGTTTTCAAACTTTGCAGAAGTCTCACGGATTGAGGGCGGGTCGTTTCCAAAATGTGGCTCTCGCTTTAGCGCCGCGCACATTCGTTCGAGACATTTGCAAGGGTTTCACGGATTGAGGGCTGATGGTTTTCAAAATGTGGCTCTCGCCTTAGCGCCGCGTAGTTCCTTGCAAACAAATTGCAAATTGTTCACTGAATGAAAACGGGTCGTTTTCAAAATGTGGATCTCGCCTTAGCGCCGCGCGCATTCTGTTTTCAAACTTTGCAAAAGTTTCACGGATTGAGGGCGGGTCGTTTTCAAAATGTGGCTCTCGCTTTAGCGCCGCGCACATTCTTTTTCAACATTTGCAAGAGGTCGTTTTCAAAATGTGGTTATCGTCTTAGCGCCGCGCACATTCGTTTAAACGAAATGTGCAAGAGCTTCGCGGCGGATTGAGGGCGGTTCCCTTTCAACATGCGGCTCTCACCTTAGCACCGCGCACAATCATTTTACAACTTTGCAAGCACTTCACGGGTTTCCAGGGTCAACGTGCCAAACATAGTGGTTAGGAAAGATTCAAGATTTTGCGGGTGCAGCAATTATGTTGATTCGCGGTGTTGAGATCCCAATAATGGCGTCATGACACGATTCCGGACCGACAGAACGCAACAGGTCAGGTTGATACGTGGCGTTGGAATCCCGAGAACAGTGTGTTGGCATGCTTCAGGATCTTCAAACGGTTGTCTACCCGTTGCAGGGGCCTGTGAAGAGGGAGCTTGGAGGGAGGGTTAATTCCAACTTCGTTGATGACTCTTGGGTTTACACTGGTCCTCCTCCTCCTCGTCCTCCTCGTCCTCCTCCTTTTCCTCCTCCTCCTCGTCCTCCTCCTCGTCTTCCTCCTCGTCCTCCCCCCCCACCTCCTTATCATCGTCTTCCTCCTCCCCGTCCTCCTCCTCCCCCATCCTCCTTCCCCTCGTCGTCCTCGTCCTCCTCCTCCTCGTCCTCTTCGTCGTCGTCTTCCTCTTCCTGCTCCTCCTCCTCCCCGTCCGCCCCTGTGCATGATGACCAAGCTCATATTCTTCCACCGCCCCTCACGCCGCCATTCTCGAGCCCGCTCTCGAGCCCGCAGCGCATCGACAACCGTCGTCGTTTGCGCGCAGTCAGAGGCTTCCCGAATCACGCGCACGATCTGCAGTTCAACGCGCCATTCCCGTGCGAACGCGCA